TGGGGGTTTTTTTTTTTTTTTTTTTTTTTTTTTTTTTGGCAGCTGGCTGGTATGGGGATCTGAACCCTTGACATTGGTGTTACAACACTGTGCTCTAACCAACTGAGCTAACCAGCCAGCCCCTGTGGTTCTTCTTAAAGTCAGCTTGACCAGAGTAAGTTTTTTTAAATGTACATTTTTCCTGGGCTGGTCAGTTAGCTCACTTCGTTAGAGGGTAATACTGATAATGCCAAGGTCAAGGGTTCAGATCCTCATACCAACCAGCTCCCCCTCCCCCAAAAGATAAATTGAAAATGTACATTTTTCCACTTCTCCCAACTAGATTGTAAGCCCCAGGAAGACAGAAGTGTAATTGTCATTTCTGTGTCCCCTGGCCCCGTGCTTGTTGAGTACAGTGGAACCAAGGTGAAATATACATTCTTTTTTTTTTGGCGGCTGGCTGGTGCAGGGACCCAAACCCTTGACCTTGGTGTTATCAGCATCACATTCTAAACAAGTGAGCTAACCAACCAGCCCTAAAGGTCAGGTTTTACACAAGAACTTAATGACACCTTCACACAGTTTGATTCTTACACATTTTGATGTTATTATCTCTTCTTTCTGTATCTATACGTAAAATCTTAAGGGGTAAAATGTTATGTGTCAACATTGGGGGTCTTGAAAACCTATGCCCTGCTCAGAGGAGCAGTATGAAAAGAATCTCTTATGAGATTTAGGATATCTATTCTTTTGCTCATCTTAGAACACAGACCTACTTTGAAATTATGTTAAATGAAATATCAGTGAAAAATACAGTTTACTATAAGTAATTAGAATTTTAAAAGGTCAGGTTTTAATTGGATTTCAGAGATGGACAACAGTGACTTACATTTTTGTTTTTATTCTCTATGTTTCTAGTATTCATATTTACTGACAAGCCAGTTGGAATCTCAGCGAATCTACTGGGAAAACAAGATAGTTCGGATAGAGAAGGACACAGCAGAGGAAGTAAGTCTCTGGTTTGGTGACTGCTGAAATGCCACGTGGCAGGGCAGTCTGAGGGTGGAGTGGGGGAAGACACAGTACAGGGAAAAAGGAATCTTAGAATCTTCCTTTGTTAGTCTGAAAACAGGTAGAAAACTGTTTTGCCTCTAAAAAGAAACCTTGGATTTAAAGGCTTGAATGTTTTGGTATTGGGGGATCTTAGGGGTGTGTGTGTGTGTGTGTGTGTGTGTGTGTGTGTGTGTGTGTGTGTGTGTGTGTGTGTGTGTGTGTGTGTGTGTGTGTGTGTGTGTGTGTGTGTGTGTGTGTGTGTGTGTGTGTGTGTGTGTGTGTGTGTGTGTGTGTGTGTGTGTGTGTGTGTGTGTGTGTGTGTGTGTGTGTGTGTGTGTGTGTGTGTGTGTGTGTGTGTGTGTGTGTGTGTGTGTGTGTGTGTGTGTGTGTGTGTGTGTGTGTGTGTGTGTGTGTGTGTGTGTGTGTTAACATCAATCAGGTTTTCTAGGGCCTTGTACACGTCCATTAAAAAAACAGAAGTGTATACATGAGGGTTTGTAATTTGAGTCAGCCAGTCAGTTTGTCAACAGCTGCTTTTGGGAGCTGAGTGTGGACTTCTGAAGCAACAAGATGGTGCTGAGCCCTTCTAAATTGAAGGAAATAAAATTGGGCAGAGATGTTGGAGCTTCAGGGTGTTGGAACTTCAGTGGTCATCCTCGTGCTTTACTGTCTAGGGCAGTAGTTTTCAAATTTTAACAAAATAATCCTTTAAAGAAGATGCCATTCACTGCTGCCGTATTTAAAAGAGTAAAGTGCTGTGATTTTGGTGGAAATCCGGATAGAGGGCCTAGAGCTCTACCTGCTTAGTTTTCCCCTTGTCTCCAACATGTACAAGGAACCCTGAAGGTTCCAAAGAAGGTAGCTTGAAAACCAGTGAGCACCTGAGGGTTTCTGTATAATTAGGGTTCTAGGAACTGTTCTTTGGATCTAGGGACAGTGTGTATAATTTGGTGATTCCCTTAGTGTTAAATAAAGACTTTTAAAGTTTCTAAATGATTGCTTTAGTAACTTTGGTGAGGTGGGGCCTACAGAGCCAGGCCTGGAGCCCACCTCTTTGGTGGCTAGCATTATCCTGGAGCTTAGCATGCAGGCCCCAGGCTCTCACTTTATGCCAGGCCCATGGGCCCCAGCTTCGGGGTATGCCTATAAATGGAGGAAATTAGTTTTTGTTTTTAACTAATGCTTAACTCCTTAACCCCAGCTTTAAAATGATCTTTAATTAAAAGGTATTGATGAAATTCTCACAAGAACTTTCCAAGTAATGGAAGTGCCTTTCCAGAGGCACTGGAGGTCACTTGACTTAGTAGTTCTGAAAAGGGCTTGATTGGAGTACATGTGGGGAAGGATGTGCCTCCCAAAGCACTCAGTGGAGGCAGAGTATGGGTTACTGCCACTTGGTGTCAAGTTATGGACTGTTGGGGAGGTGCATTGGCAGCTCTGCTACAGCCTCACTAATGGGTTTTTCGACAGGATCTATCAGTGTGACCAACTGAACTGCTTCGTGCAGACCCTTGAGAGCTAAGCTCAGGATTCTCTCTGCCCTTTAAGATTCTTTTGGATTAACTGCATTACCTGAGATGTGCCAATGAAAAGCAAGTCAAGTGGCAGGGATATGAAAAACTGTGAAACTCAAGTTTACTTTTAAGATGGAGGCAAGGGCAGCTGTAAATAAAAAGCTGCAAGTGCTTGAAAGGATGCTTTGGTTTTCTAATAACAAATGTCATTTATCCATAAGTTAATGGATGATGCAAGCCTTTCGTCCTTCCATTGTTCTCCTTTAACCAATCCTCTGTCCATTGGCACCCCCAGCAATAGAACACATGCAGGGAGAAACTGTCACCTGACTGAGATTGTTTGTGGGCCTAATAAAAATTTAATGTGGAGGAAGGGAGGGTATCAAGGTTGAAGAAATTCATTGTGGACTTCAAATATAAATACCATTTTTCCCCCAGTGCCTTAGGTACTACAAGTATTATAGCATGTGAGCTGAGTCTGTTCTAGAAAATGAAGCTCATATGCATTTGAAGGTTTTTAGTTTTCATGGGGCCATGTATGAAGAACCCCTAGTGGGCAGTCAGTATAGGCGAATTCCCCTTAAAGATACCTCTTTTCTCTTTGGACCTCTAGCTCTATTTAAACCAGTATTTTTCCAGCTGTGCATTGTGGAGTTAGTTTGGTGGACCACAGCTGGCATTGTTTTTTTTTTTTTTTTTTTTTTTTTTTTTGACTGGTAAGGGGATCGCAACCCTCGGCATGGTGTGGTCCGCACCGCACTCAGCCAGTGAGCGCACTGGCCATCCCTATATAGGATCCGAACCCGCGGCCTCGGCGCTCCCAGCACCGCACTGTCCCGAGTGAGCCACAGGGCTGGCCTGGCATTGTTAATAGATTGAGTAGGGTAGATTTAAATATTATTGTATCACATTTAATACTATCTCGTGAAACTCGTTTTAGTTGTGTGTGTGTGTACTGAGTGTTTCTTACTGTGGGCTAAAGGTCAGAAATTTTTTTTTTTTTTTAAAGACGACCGGTAAGGGGATCTTAACCCTTGACTTGGTGTTGTCAGCACCACGCTCAGCCAGTGAGCAAACCGGCCATCCCTATATAGGATCCGAACCCACGGCCTTGGTGTTATCAGCACCACACTCTCCCGAGTGAGCCACGGTCCGGCCCTCAGAAATTTTTTTTTTTTTTTTTGTCCTTTTTGAGACCGGCCGCACCGCGCTCAGCCAGTGAGCACTGTGAGCGCACCGGTCATCCCTATATAGGATCCAAACCCGCGGCGGGAGCGCTGCTGCACTCCCAGCACCGCACTCTCCCGAGTGCACCACAGGCTCGGCCCAGAAATGTTTTAAAAAGCACTAATTTAAATCCTTGTAACATTTATCTATAGCAACATTAAAAACCTTTTTTAGGGTTACTTCATATTTTTCATCTTGATTTAAATGTGTTTACTGACCAAAACATATACAGTTTGGTTCCTTTTGGTAGTAATTTCTGTCCTTCCCAACTTCCTTAAACTGGCATAAGTCAGTTTAGGAGAAAATGTCAAAAGGCTCTACTGATCTCTTATTTTAAAACAGTACTGAAGACAAAATTAATACATTAGAATTTGAGCTATTTTTCTTTTTATGACATAGAAGAACTTTCAGGAATCTCCCTCTCATGTTCTTTCAACTTAATGAAGTTCTCTAAAAGTTAATCTCTACAAAATAATTATTTTTTTAAAAGGCTATGCTATCAGAGACCTGCTAGGCAGGCTGTATGGAAAACGTGTGAAAAGAAAGGTTAAAAGTGATGACCCTGGGCTGGCCCAGTTAGCTCAGTTGGTTAGAGCATGGTGTTATAACACCAAGGTCAGGGGTTTGGATCCCCATACTGGTCAGCCACGAAAAAAAAAATACAATGACCCTTTGTCTGGCTTGAGAGATGTTGCCATGCATTGCAAGCGGGATCTCTGCTGAGTGTTTAGATCTAGCCTGCAGGTCACTTTTCCTTTGCTATAGAGCTTTGGCCTCCAGTGGAGTACAGTGAGAGATTCAGAACTTGGCTTTGGACCACAACTTAAGGCCCTGTCCTGGATCCACCACATTCTAGCTGGGCATATTGCCTCACTTTTCTCTAAGCCTCAGTTTCTATCAAGAGTTTTTATACTTTTGATAGAAACTTTTTATGAGGAATGAATGAGATATTACTTATAAAACACTTAACCGATGCCTAGGCCATAAGATTTAAATTATTACTTTCAGTTCCTATTATGATTGCCTTATGATCCACCCAGCCTTCCCAATGTCCTTAGACCAGCAGAGCTGAGGCAATTCCCAAGTTTGTAGCTCTTAACACTGGAGTCAATCCAATGTCTACCTAGTTAGACTCCAACATACTCTTGACTAGGATTGCTGCCATCTGAATATAATACACCAGAATTTTTTTTTTTTTTTTTTTTGTGACCGGCTGCACCGTGCCCAGCCAGTGAGCACTGTGAGCAAACCGGTCATCCCTATATAGGATCCGAACCCGCGGCGGGAGCGCTGCTGCACTCCCAGTGCTGCACTCTCCCGAGTGCACCACAGGCTGGGCCCGTACACCAGAATTTTAAAATTCTCCTAAGTTTTGAAGACTATGTAATATGAATTAGTTATAGATATATATCCTTTATAAATAAACTAAAAAAAAATAGACTGTTTATATTTCATATGGTTTCATGGTACATGAGAAAATTAATAGTGAGTTTGGGAGGAAAAAAAAACCCAAATAAGTAGAATCGGCTAGTTTCTTAGATTACCAATGGATAATAACTTCCGCGATGTAATCTCAGGAGGGAAAAAACAATGGTCAGTTAAGAATGGGAGGCTCTGGTCTGGCCTCTAACAAACCATCTCCTGCTCTGGTGCCTGAAGCTCGCTCTTTATTTTCTAGCAGTTTCACTTAACATTCAGCAGCTCCTGATTCCTTGTTCATCCTGGTATAGAGAAATAATAATAATAAAAAAAGGATTCGTGAAAGTGTTTATTCCTGTTACAGAAATTCTTTCAATGATTATCTCACCTTTTCTAAGTTTGGTTTGTCAATGTTGTAAACAGATAATTGGAGGGAAAATTATGACAGCCACAAAGACCACACAATTTTGCCCTTGTGAAATGAGTCTGATCTCTTATTTGCTCTTTCAGATAAACAACATGAAGACCAAATTTAAAGAAACAATTGAGAAATGTGATAATCTGGAGCACAGACTAAATGATCTCCTAAAAGAAAAGCAGTCTGTGGAAAGAAAGTAGGTATTATCGGTCTCTTCTTTAAATTAACTATTTTATTGCAAAAGGCTGTATAAACAGATAATTTCCTTCATTGCTATGTAAACACACTCATTTTCAAGTGTGTGCATCACCAGGTTTTCAGGGGTCTGTCTATATATATGGAGCAAACTTACTGTGACTTCTTGGTTATTTAAAAATGTGGTATTTCATGCCAGATGGATGCTATGTGGAATGCAGTACTTTCTCCTGATATCTGTGTGCTTGCAGTGTGTACCAATATCTTCCATGTTTGTGAGTAGAAGGCAATTTCCTCGTGTCCAGAGCTGCAGCTTTTCTGAGCCATCATGGCTGAGAACTGGCAGTTAGGAAAGAGACTGTGTCTAAGCTGGAGATGTCATATGCTGTGGCCTTGGGCAGGAACTAAAGGCCAAAGATGTTGAATATGGAGCAAAAAACTCAGGAACAGCATAGCAAGAACATACTCTACTACTGTTATTTGGGAGGATAGTTGCTACTGATTGGAATTACCTCTCTGGTTTACGAAAACTCATACTCAGAAAACAATTGGATTTTTACCTTCATACAAATGGATAAAAAATAAATTTAAGGGAGATAATTCGTCCCTAGAAAGTTTTGTGTGTTCCTTTTTTCTTTAATAAATCTTTTATTTTGGAACAAATTTAGATTTACAGAAAGATTGCAAAGTGCAAAAGAGTTCCCATATACTCTTTGCCCATCCCACCTCCCTTATTTTTTGGCTGCTGGCCAATATGGAGATCCAAATTCCCCTACTGTTTTTTTTTTTTTTGTCTTTTGTCTTTTTCCGTGTCCGGCAACGGATCGCAACCCTCAGTGTTGCCCCCGTACCGGACCGGGGACCGGCAACGGGATTGCACCCCTCGGTGTTGCTCCCGCGCCTCGCTCAGCCAGTGAGCGGGAACCGGTCTGTATGTGGGATCCGAACCCTCGGGCGGGAGCGCCGCCGTGCTTCCCAAGCGGGGCCCCCTCCCCTGCGCCCCCCCGCCCGCCCCCTTTTTTTTTTTTTTTTTTTTTTTGTCTTTTGTCTTTTTCCGTGTCCGGCAACGGATCGCAACCCTCAGTGTTGCCCCCGTACCGGACCGGGGACCGGCAACGGGATTGCACCCCTCGGTGTTGCTCCCGCGCCTCGCTCAGCCAGTGAGCGGGAACCGGTCTGTATGTGGGATCCGAACCCTCGGGCGGGAGCGCCGCCGTGCTTCCCAAGCGGCGCACTATCCAGTGCGCCACCGGGCCGGCCCTTTTTTATTTTTTTAATAGTTTTTAAAATTATGGTTATATATGTATATCACAAAATTTGCCATTTTAACCATTTTTAAGCGTACAATTCAGTGGCATTAAGTACATTCACAATGATGTGTAACCATCACCACTATCTGTTTCCAAAATTTTTCATCACTCTGAACAGATACTCTGTCACCAAACGTTTTTTTTTAACTGTTGTAAAAACAACACTACAACATTAATAGAAATCAAAACTTAAAATTCTCCTGCATTTTCAGCACCCTGACAAATTGAACTGTGTTAAAGAATTACAAATTAAAACTGGAATCTTCACCCTCTAAATCTTGCTATCTAGAGCTGCCCAGTTAGCTCAGTTAGTTAGAGTGTAGCCTTACAACACCAAGGTCACAGCTTCAGATCCTGGTACTGGCCAGCCACCAAAAAAATCTTACTTCTAGAGGTAACTTATTAACTGTACCAGTGAATATTTATTCCTTCTGATCTTTAGCACTACCTACATAAATATCTCACGCACATAATATTTTTTTCCACAAAAATAGAATAGTAGGTATTTCTCTTTGGTAAAATATTCTGTTTTGGAGATTTTTTCATACTGGCACATCTAGGTATGTCCTGGGCTTTGTAACAGCTGCATGGTATTCCACTGTATGGATGTACCATAATAATTTTAACTTGTAATCTATTGATAGACATTTAAGTGGTCTCAGGTCTTAACACTACTATAAACATCGTAATGAGCATATTTCTCCATGTTTCTTTTTGCACAATCCTTAGTATATCTGTTCTATAGGATAAATTCCTAGAAATAGAACAGCTGTGTCAAAGAGCATGTGACATTTGATTTTTATGGGTATTACCAAATTGACTTCCAGGGAGTTTGTACCAATTCATGCTCCAGTGCCATTGTATAGGAATGCATCTTTTCCCATGTCTGAGCTCTTTGGCATCCTGATACATAAAAATGCTATCTCAAATGGTGCTTTAATTTGTAATTCTTTATTTATAAGTAAGATTGGGTATCAAGAATAGGGTGCTCCCAATTCTTGAAAACTCTTTGGTTAGAATAAGCACCTTTTTATCTTCTCCAGCAAATGCAGTGAGGTCAGAGCACTTGACTCTCTTAGAATGTCACTTTTCCTCATAACTTCCTTATCACAGCTGTCATCTCTAAGGCACCTGTTTAACCACTGACTGCAAAACAGAGAAGTAGTAGTTTTACCATGAGTCACAGAATCATTTCTGCTATTGAGAAATTTCTGATGCTTAAAAAAAGTGTCTTGAAGGTACATTTGGGTTAACTAGAGCAAAATTCTTGCTTTGTGTAGCTGATTGCAATGGCAGCAAACCAGTCTCCCTCATCATGGGAGGGAGGAATCTGCCTAAATGGATTCTGAGGTCATGGCTCCTCTGTTCCATCCCACAGCAGAAGGGACTGTGTCAGCAGATGAAAAATGTGCTTTTGTCTTCCTTTGTTTTGCAAAAGGTGCACTCAGCTAAACACAAAAGTGGCCAAACTCACCACCGAGCTCAAAGAGGAGCAGGAAATGAACAAGTGTTTGCGAGCCAACCAAGTCCTCCTGCAGAACAAGCTGAAAGAGGAGGAGAGGGTCTTGAAGGAGACCTGCGACCAAAAAGATCTGCAGATCACTGAGATCCAGGAGCAGCTGCGCGATGTCATGTTCTACCTGGAAGCGCAGCAGAAGATCAACCACTTGCCTGCCGAGACCCGGCAGGAAATCCAGGAGGGACAGATCAACATCCCCATGGCCTCGGCCTCAAGCCCTCCCTCTTCAGGGAGTAGTGGGAAGCTGCCCTCCAGGAAGGGCCGCAGCAAGAGGGGCAAGTGACCTTCAAAGAAACAGACTTCTCTGAGACTGTTTTCCTGGCACTGCAAGGGTATGCCAGGACCTTCAGCTAAATGTGAGGGTGGGCCCTAATAAGTACAAGTGAGGATCAAGCCGTAGTCGTTTGGCTCTTTCATTTGCTAGTGTGTGGTGTAATGAATTTAGAGGGTGCTGACTAGGAGTGCTGATGGAAATGGGCAGTATTCTAAAAGGTTATAGTTCGCTAACCTCAGACATTCTAATGACCATTTTGCCTTCCTGCTTGGTAGATGCCCCAACTCTGCTGTTCATTTTTCCATTGTATTTATTGAGTTGGTGTATTTGATATTCAGTTCTGGGGTAGGTTTAAGATATTAAGGTTTTGGGGGGGTTTTTTGTAGCCACAGGTAACATTAGCACTAGAGCAAGCACCTAACCTCCCTGAAGTCACAGCAGCTGCTTTAAAGAAAGATTCCCATTGGCTACTGAGGAGTTGTGAAAATTCCTTAGTATTAGTCTCATATCATTGTCATCCCTTCCTTTCTCTGAGGAGTTGGATTGTTTGAATGTTTTATGAAAAGAAGTTGGGTTGTAAACCAGGCACTAGCTTGTCACCAGCAGCCATCTCTTCTTGCTGTAGGGCTAGCCAGGAAAAACAAACAACCCAGAGCATACCGAGTAGGCCCAGTGTAGGAAAAATGGTGGCAGTTCCAGTTTGTTTATTTTCAGTGACTCCACACGTCATTATGAACCTCAAATAAGAAGGCTTAATGGCTGCTCCAAGACTCCAATCTCAGAGTGGATTTCCTAGCTTCTAGCAAGAATAAGCAGGGAGATTTATCATCTATGTGAAATGTAGAGTGAGGCCTCTGACTAGCTAATTGTGTATTTTGCTGGGATCAGTATTTTCTGAATGTTTAACAAAAGATTGGGCTGCACGTTCAGGTTGCAGCTAGAGGGAGCTTGGGCAGATTTTCAATTACGCTTTCAAGATATAACCAAAGGCTTTTTCTAAACCCTAAAATTAGAATTTCAACAGAGCCCCCTTTAAAACACTAGTAATGCTTGTTGTGGGCCTGTAGAAGGGCTGTGTACTTTCTCCAGAACCGTAAATGTCAAAACAATTTGTAACATGCAGTTATTGAGCAAAATTAAAGTAAGTTGGAATTTAGCTTCTGCAAGAGGTAGCTGGATAAGTTAACAAGACTACTGTCAAATGATGGGTTTTGTTTTCTGCTTTATAATTAGCCAAAGGTTTCAAGTTATTACATTTTGGAATTTTTTGTTAGCCCGTGATCAGGACTCATCCCCTTTGACCTAAATGTCTTACATGTTACTTGTTTACACATCTATGGTATCATTAATCACCATCCATTTTTATGGGATGTGCTTCAGCCTTTCCCAAAAAACCTTACCTGTAACTTTGCGAAATGAATGTACTCAGACATTCTTAATTTTTCTTAGGGCGGACCAACTCTGTAAGTCCTTCTTGGACTTCTATATACAGATATCTTAAAGCAAGAGTGGGAATGTAAAGCATAACCTAATTCTCTTTCCTATAGAGATTCTATTTTATTTAAAATCTATTTTTACACTAGTTAGAATCCTGCTGTTTTGGCCAAGTACTTGTCTTGCATGTCTGACGTTGCAGAAGCTGGGGTGGATCGGAGCATACTAATGAAGAGAATTTGAAGTAGTTTACGAAGCTTGCTTGCTCCTCACTTCCCAATAATCTTCCATCAAGCAGCCCTACCACCAGCTGGGAAGACAGAGATTATCAGCACAGGTGGGATAAATACTCTGAAAGGCTGTGCCCAGAGGAATGAGCAAATGGGCAAATGTTTCCAAACTACTTGAAGGTTTAAAAAACGTTTCAGGAAAAAAAATCTTACCAAAATATGTAAAGAAGATGTTTTTAGAAAACAGTCAAAGAGTCATGTTTGAATTTAACAAATTTACATAAGGTAGAAGCTGTTAGTGTTTTCTTCAGGATGGAAATGAACCACTTAATATACGCATACTACCTTGAACAATGAAATTGCATTAAAACAGCCAAACTTTGAACTTATTCTGCCCCGTGTGAATTTGTCTCAGTGACATTTGCTTGGGAGCATGTACCTAGTCTAAGAAAGTGTTGCTGCATAAAAATCACCGCCTTGACAATGTAGCGAACAGCTAGATTATTCATCTTTTAGCCCCTTTCCTCCAGTTTCCCAAACTAATGAAAAGTAGTCGAGGCAGATACAGACTAGGGGAAATTATCTGAATTTGGAGGTAGGGTAACTCAAGCACACAACTCTTTTGCAAACTAAAAGAAATCAGTTTATTTATCTTTTCCAGGCCCTACACCAAGCTGAGACTGGTTTTTTGTTTTTGGAAACTGTCACAAACGTGACTTGTTAGGATACACTGGATAATAAAAAGCACTGAAGCACTATCCTTTCCCTGCTTGCACAGCAAACTTGTCCTCATCAGAAGGGCTGAGACACTGACTTCAACAGCCAGCCAGTAGGGTGTGTAGAATTTGGCAAATCACAAATGAACAACTTTCTGTCATCATTTGAAAGCCCCTCTTCTACTGCAGGCAGGATACACAAGCTACAAATATCCATAAAATTTGGCTACTGTGCATGATGCCACGATGCTTGTATTGGTGGCATATATTGGTTCATGTGAAGTCCATGGGCTTACCTAAAAGAGGAAAAAGTCACTCTTAACATTTGAGGAAAGCTATTTTGTTTTCTCCAGCATAAACCTGAATTAACTGCTGCACAGCGATTCTGTGGCATCGCTTCTCTTGGCAGCAGAAGGGAAATTGAGTCTCTTAAGAACCAGCTCCTGCTCCTTAATGATGCTGGGGGATATCTAAACAACCCAAAGACCCACCTTAATCGAGTTTAGAAAGCCACAGCTGTTCTTTGGCAGGCATCTGCTGCTGGCTAGTCCTTTTCATTGTTGCCAATGAAAATTCTTGAATATCTGTGTAGAAGAGAGGACCAGAAGCTTCTGGCTACACCAACAAACGTAGAAAGCTGTGTGTGTGTGTGTGTGTGTGTGTGTGTGTGTGTGTGTGTGTGTGTGTGTGTGTTGCTGTGGCTACACCAACAAACGTAGAAAGCTGTGTGTGTGTGTGTGTGTGTGTGTGTGTGTGTGTATGTGTGTGTGTGTGTGTGTTGCTTGCATGCATGTATCCTCATCCATTAAAGGGATCCAAAGTAGCTTTTAAAGTTAGCTCACTTGGGAGACTGTGGTGCTGATTTAAAAAAAAAAAAAAATGTTTAGTAACAGTCAAGTGAGGTGGTAAGAGGAAGAAAAACCTTTCCCTTCAGGAACCCCAAGTTATGACCTTGAACTAAGGCCTGTCTCCTTCCCCTGTGCTATGTGAAGTTGATTTTTTTCCCCCAAATGCTGTTCTGTGGTCTGCCTGGAGCAAACAAACATTCTTTGCATTTGTGCATTAGGGGACTTCAGGGAAGTTATATAAGGCTTCTTTTATTTTGTGGGGGGAGTCATGGCCTCTTTATCCTGATTAATGTCATAGTCAACCTGTTTATACCCTCTTCATTTTTTAATGATAACCCATCCTTACCTTGTATCCCTGAAACTCACACGCTCCCCCGGGAATGCTCACAGACACTTACAACCATAGGTTCTATCAGACATTAATTGAAAGCTGTACTTCCAAAAGCCAAAACTATTTCAAAATCATTGTAGCTAGTATACTTTATAGCAACATTGAGTAGTCTCCCTCACTGTAATTCTGGAAGCTTAAGAGAACACGAAAGGTTCTTAATCTGGATTTTGCATTCTTGCTGCATTAAGGGAAGAGATGAACAATCTGTTATTTTATACAAAATGATTGCAGTCTTTGATGCCTAAATTGAATTGCTTCAGGTCAAACATTTCTCACTGGAATCATCCGGAAAATGTGGTTTTGGTACTTGGCATGGAGCTGAGCTGGTGCAGATAACATTTGTTACTCCAAGGCTAATTACCAAGCTCACTAAGTGAACTAAAGCAGCTTTGTTTCTTTTCAGACATTGTTCTAAATCCCCTGACCCAAGATTCCTTTCAGATCCAGCCTGAGATTGCCTTGAAATAAACGCAGGGAGGTTTGTCCAAGAGGGGAAGTCAAAGAGTGAAATCACCTGCAAGGTCCTAGAACATGAAGGTTTATAATATTCAGGATAAATCTACCCTAGTACAATGATACTGATGGTGCATTTCTTTTCAAAAAGTAAAAGTAGGGGCCGGCCCATGCCTCACTTGGGAGAGTGTGGTGCTGATAACACCAAGGCCATGGGGTTGGATCCCTATATAGGTATGGCCGGTTAGCTCACTTGGAGAGCGTGGTGCTGACAGCAGCAAGTCAAGGGTTGCGATTCCCCTTATAAGTCATCTTTTAAAAAAATTAAAAAGGTAAAAGTAAATCTAAAAAACAGTTCTGACCTGGCCTCCGAGATGTCTTTTGTCTAGACCAAATCTCCCCATTTAAAAAGGAAGAGCCCACTGAGATGCCTCCAGTTGCATCAATTCCTGATTCTAAATTCTCAATCCGTGGGTTATGGCCCATTAGGCAAAAAGTTGAGACTTTCCCTAGAGGACTAGGAGAAGTGAAGTCCCATGTAAAAGAATGAGGTGTTTCCACAACTTGAGAAACTTGTCTGTATTACTTTACATCATTAGCATAACGCCTAGCACCACAAGACTTTAGTGCTAACTGAAAAGAAAGAACACAAACTGCTGGGGCAAAAGAACAGATCACAGAGAAAGACTCAGAAATAAAGAGTAAACGGAAAATTTTAGGAGGAATAAGGAGAGTTGCTCTCTTGGAAACACTCCAACAGAGAGCAACCAAATTATGACTTATCACACACAACCAGGTCTTCCTGCAGCATTTTTTAGGAATTATCTTTTGTGAAAGACTCAGCCTTAGCTGTACCCACTCGTATTCCAACCGATTAGTTTATGCTCACATGGAAGCTATGAGCCCAGAACGGTTTGTGAAGAAGGGCAGCAAGAGAAGAGCCACGTCACACTCCCCAACCTCCCCACCCCACCTGTCCTTGGGGAAGAAAAATTGAAATTCTCTTTTCAAAAAGCATGCCTCAGGAAAACAGCTTCTTTGCATTTGTTTCCATGCTGTGGAGAATCAACAGTAACTGGCTTTGATCCCAAATGCGGCCAACTGCAGGACGCTGAGGATTGTGCAGCCAGGAAGAACGTGAAGGGCTCCTCCGCCCACCCTCACCCCAGCACATTCGACTTCAATTATGTGGGAACATGCCTGGGCCGGGGGCTGCTGCCAGAATTCCCCTGGCCCAGATGGAGGAGGCCCCGTGCTATGGCCCAGAATCTTTCCTAAAAGTCCACACAGGATCTCTCAGTTGCTGCCAATCCTGCACTTTCTCCTTGGCGTGATTCCTGGCTGTTTGGCCAGAGTAAGGCTAAGGCTCGCTCTTGTCCCTTTCTTCCTCTACGTGCTGGGTTCTCTTCTCCCTTCAGCCCTTCTGCCCCTCGCAGTTGTAATTAAGAATGTTTCACTGCTTTCAGAAGCAGAATCCTGAAAAAGATAAGCCACGCCAACCCCCTCCTCTCATTTTTGTGAGCTCTTTTATGGCCCACAGGAGAAGGCTGCCTTTTTGGTGAACTCTCAAAAAACAGTTTTCTTTCTATCTTCTGAGATAATGTTCTTGCGGAAAGGGAGGTAATTGATGTGAAAGAACCCTGATTGGATTACTGTTAGCTTGTGTAAACCTGAGTGGACTAGGAAAACCCTAGAAGAACATCCCTATGAGAGATTTCTTTTCCAGGACTGGTTACACCAATTAGGCAATCCAGAGGGGCAGATTTTTTTTAACCAAATAAAATCTGTCTTATTTGGTAAAACCCAGAACCAAGAACCCTTGCACATGCCGAGAAGTAGAAGTAGAAATCCTGTCCTGCTGGGGTTTTGGGGAGTTTTTTTGTTTGTTTTTTGCAGCTGGCCAGTATGGGGATCCAAACGGTTGACCTTGGTGCTATAACAGCACGTGCTCTAGCTCTCAACCAACTGAGCTAACAGGCCAGCCCCCGTCCTGCTGTTTTGACACACTTGATTCCAAGGCTAGCTGGCATTTGTTTGAATTCCTGCTTAATGATCTACAGTCACTGTGCTGAGTGCTTTGTAGGTATCATTTCATTCAGTCCTCAACACAACCCTGTCAGGACGGTACAGTTATCCCATTTTATACATCAGGAAATCAAGGCTCACTGGAGACAGGATGGGACTGACCAGAATTGGCTGAGGTCATAGAGCTGATAAGTGATAAAGGCAATGCTCAATCTCTGTATCAGCCACGAAAAACAATTACATTGTATAATGTTGAATATACTAATTATCCTGATTTGATCATCACATATTGCACAAAGCTATTGATATTCAACTCTGTAACCCACATATATGTACAATCAACTATGTTACAATAAAAAAAGAAAAAAAAACCCTCTGTATCATCTGACCCCAAAATCTGGACTTGTCACTCCACTCTACTACCTCCCCTAAACTTAGGGTTCTATACACCCATCCTCTGCAAGTCTTCCCCTCTTCTCGTGGAGCTCTCTATCTTCTCCCTCTCTTATATCTCACATCAGTGGGGTCTGAGCCAGAGCTGATAAAGAGGAAGGAAGAAGAAAACAACCCCAGTGCTTTCTCCCACTATACCTAAGGGCTGACTTTGAGAAATCTCTTCATTTCAGTGTCCTGTCCTGGCCCTTTCACCCTGGGAGGCTTGGAGCCCAGTCCACAGCAACCATTTAAGCTGACATCTCAATTCTTTTATACAGAGCCTCGTGGAAGCCGAGGTGCTTCCTCAGCTGGAAAAGTTGCTTCTAGAACAAAACTATCCAGACTCTAAGGAGTTCCCTCTTTGAGAATGTAGGCTCAGTTACTGCCTCCAGAGGCACAGTCTAAAGAACCGAAATAGGCTAACTGGCAAGTATAGATTGTGGAGGGATCAGCTTAATTTGCAGCTTCAATTTATTACAGAATAAACAGGAGAGAGAGAATGTCTAGAACAAAATTCTTAT